TACTACTACTACTACTACTACTACTACTACTACTACTACTACTACTACTATTACTACTGCTACTGCTGCTGCTGCTGCTGCTACTACTACTACTACTACTCATAGGGTCTTGAAAAGAGCAGGCACTTGGTAAATCATTGTTCTCAGTAGTCAAGTGGCATAGTGGATAAAGCAGTGGATTTTCAGTCAGGAAAACCTGAGTTCAAACCCTGCCTCATACATTTACTAGGTATTTGCCCTTGGGCAAGTCACTTAACCTCAGTCAACCTTAGTCTTTTGTACTGCAGGGATGATAGCACCTATCTCACATGGTTGTTGTTGGAGGCAGGCAGGTAGCAGAATGGACCTGGAAAAAGAAAACCTGAGTTCAAATCTGGCCTTTGATACTTACTATGTGACTCTGGGTAAGTCACTTTACCTCTCTTTGCCTCAGTTTCCTCATCTATAAAATCAGGATTAAAAAATAGCACCTACATCTCAGGGTTCTTGTGAAGATCAAATGAGATATTTGTAAAGCATATTGCAGGTGCTTAATAATTGCTTGTTTCCTTCATTTCTTTTACAGAGAAGGAAATTGAGGACTGAAGATCCTAAGTGAATACAAATCACTATTCCCAAAGGTGAGTAGAGCAGAGCTGCATCCTAATGGAGGTTCTCCAATTCCCTGTCCAGTGCTTTTCTGCTATTTGACACCATGGTACCAAATGTTGATTTACTTGCAGGGAAGATGGTATTCAAATATGAAGTAATCATGCTTTATGTAATATTAATCTGTAGAAGCAATTTTATCTAATTTAGACTCTAAAACATCCTTAATTTGAGAGGGGAATACAGGAAAGAGATACAGGAAGATGAGATTGGGAATGAGATAGAGGGAAAAAAGTGACTGCTAACCCTTTGTAAATGAACTCCATATCTCAGAGATCCTATTGCCAGGCACATACTCCAAGTAGGTCAATGATTTTTTAAAAGGCTCTAAAATATTTATAGTAATACCTTTCATGTTAGCAAAGAGCCAAAAACAGTAAAATTTATTTATTTATTTCAAGGCATTTATTAAGTTCTTACTGTGTGCCAAGAACTGTGCTAAGCACTGATAAAACAAAGGACTGAAAAAACAGGGTCCCTGCCCTTCAGGAACTCTCATTTCAGTGCAAATGATGTAGAATATCCTTCAACTGGGGAGTGGCTAAACCAACTGTGGTACATAAATGTAATAGAATATTATTGTGCTGTAAGAAATAATGAAGGCAAAGAAGTGTGAAAAGAGTAATGTGAACTGATGCAAAGTGAAGTAATCAAAACTAGGAATAAATCAAAACCAATAACTACAACATAAAAGAAAAGACCAACAACAATAAAATAATAGAAATAGAATCATAATTACCTACCTTGATCCCAAAGGAAAAAATATGAAAAGGTAGTTTCTTCCCTATTTGCAGAGGTATAGGGGTATGGGTGTAGAACGTTGTCAGTTCTGGTCTGTATATTGGTTAGTTTTGCTGGACTATTTCTGTTGTTATTGTTTTTGAATTGTGTCTTACTCTTTGTGACTCCATTTGGGATTTTCTTGGTGAAGATACTAGAGTGGTTTGCCATTTCTTTCTCCAGCTCATTTTACAGATGAGGAAACTGAGGCAAACAGGGTTAAGTGATTTGTTCAGGGTCACCCAGCTAGCAAGTATCTGACGCCAGATTTGAATTCAGGAAAATGAATCTTCCTGACTCCAGGCCCAGTATTCTTTTCACTCTGCCAGCTAGCTGCCCCACTTCTTTTTTTATCCTTTGTTATAAAGGAGTAATCTCTAGAAGGTGGAGAGAAGAGACATATATTGGGAAACATAGGTGATGTAAAAATAAAAGATACTAAATAAAATTTTTTAAAGTAAGAAAATGAATGCATATAGTACTGTAGAAAAAGCCATGTTTCTGAAGTCAGAAAACCTAGGTTCAAATCCTTCCTCTGATAATTAATACCTCTATGACCTTAGACTAGTCACTCCGGGTTCCCAGGTCTCAGTTTACCTATCTGTAAAATGAGGGGATTCAGCTAGATGACTTAGATCCATGATGTAGGACCCTATAGTCCTGTGGATTCCCACGTGCAAAATAAAAACAATGCAGTTTCAAGGTCAATGCTGATCTTGGTGCTTCAGTGATGGTAGAGAAAGGGTGTTGGGGGAGGGGAGGAGCAGCTTAAATTACTAGTTCTAGTTTTACATGAATGATGTAGCCAGGGCTGTGGTACAAATCCATTCAAATCCATAAATGAAAATTTTGTTGTTGAGGTGAGCAATTACACTGAAGAGAACCTTTAGATAAAGTACAGAAAATCGGTTCAGAATGTCCCTTATTGAAAGACAGGAAGAAAGAGAAAGAAAGACAGAGAAAGACAAAGAGAAACAGAGATAGAGACAGATTTCACAAAAAGAAAAGAAAAAATATGCTCGCTAACCTTTTACTTAAACAGTCCCCTCTCTGCTTGTGCCTTTGGGAATAGGGTAGTACAAGTCCACAATGTGTGAGGGCAGCTGAAGAAGTCTTTATTTGTATATTTATCCTATATACATCATTCAACCGCTTTAGCTTTCAAATCCCAAGTCAAGAAAACAGACTGATTTGCAATTAGCTTTAAATCCAGAGCTCTGAAATAGTCAATAGAACATGAGAAATGTAGTGGCACCGTGACCATAGCTTAATATACTTTCACCCATTAAATAAGAAAAGTCCCTGACTAACTTAATTACACTAAGAAGCCCATGGACTGAAATTTCTCCAACTTTTTTTTTTTTGAGAGGAGTAGATGGAAAGAAGGAGGCAGCTATTACAAAGGTAATAGCAAATAATCTATTTTCTTTCTGACCACCAAGGGTCATGAATGTCTCAGCTGTTCAATATTCCTTCTAAGAAAGTCAACTGAACATCAGACTAAGAAAAGAAGATGTTGTTGATGCCCAATAATATCTGGATGTCCATTCTATGCCTCAGGATGTTACTGCCCTAGCTATATTGGGGGTGATTGTCTATGAAGAAGTAGCCACCAGATTCTGCCCTATGCTAATATTCATGGAATAGAGCAGAACCATTCTAAGTGTAGCTAGGTCTACAGAAGCTTCTCCACTGTGATTCTACTCTTCCCTTCTGAGTCCAAGTTTAGACTTTTCTTCGACACGGTAATCCTTCAAATACTTGATAAATTATCAACTCCCTCCACTGGGATGCTGGAGCCAGCTCCTAGGTTCAAGTTGATGGTTAAATTTTCAGTGTGAACATTTACACCTAAGAAATTGGCAAATGTTACAAATCAGGGCTTGATTTATTGTTTTGTCGAGGTGATGGAGAAAATGTTAATGATGAAGAGTAAACTTAAAAGTGTATCATGAATAACCTTTTTTTAAAGTTGTTAAACTTTTACCAACACAGCCCTGACTCTCTTCTAAATCTTCCTTTCTCCAGGCTAACTATCCCAGCTCCTTTAATCCATCCTTCTATGGCATGGGTTTAAATCTCCTAATTATCCTAATTGCCCTCATTTAGAGAGATTTATTTAATGAACTTATAGGACTTCCTGTCACTCCCATTCTGTACTCAAGCAATGCTTTTTTTTTAAACCTAAGCAAAAGAGTTTGCATTTAGCTTTGTCTTTGAATGTAAGCTCCCAGATAATGGAGTTCAAGTCTATTAAGTCAGCAGGATGGGTTCTTAAAGAATAATTTTAAGGGGCAGGTAGGTGGCATAGTGGTGAGAGTACTGGCCCTGGAGTCAGGACATGAGTTCAAATCTGGTCTCAGACATTTACTAGCTATGTGACCCTGGGCAAGTCACTTGACCTTGATTGCCTTACCAAAATAAAGATGAAGAAGAAGATGATGAAGATAGGAATGCAGTATAGTCTAGTAGTAGATAAAGAGTTGGGCTATAAATCAGGAAGACCACAGTTGAGTCTCTGACACTTACTAATTGTGTGACCAGGGCAAGTCACGGCCTCTCAGTGCTCATCCAAGCAAAGCTCTAAAACTGCACATTGCAGTGTTGTTGTTCAGTCCTGTCAAGCTCTCTGAAACTCCATTTGGGGTTTTCTTGGCAGAGATACTGGATCGGTTTGCAATTACCTTCTCTGGCTCATTTTACAGATGAGGAAACTGAGGCAAAGGGGATGAAGTGACTTGCCCAGGATCACACAGCTAGTAAGTTTTGTTTTTAAAAAGCTAATTCTGCTTGTCACGGTTTTTCAGTTGAGCGCAGGTGGTTTGCCTCGGTTAAAAGAGGAGACGAAGCATTTGTTCTGAATTTCTGACAGAATAAAAGTTTCACCTGAGATAGTAAGTGACCCCCAAGGCCAGGAGAAGCAGCAGCCCCAGCACAACCACACAGACCGCCACGGTGATGTTCTGCTGCTTTGTCATCGTCACGTGCCGCATTTCCCACCATTCCAGGTCGCTGTGCTGACAGCGCTCTCCTACGTAGCCAGCCATGCATCTGTAACACACACATGCCCAGAAAAATAACAGTTTCCCAGGGCACTCCTGCTATCCCCCTCCTCCACCCTCAGTTCCTGACCATCCGCGTCCCAGCATCCAGGAGTAATATCTGGTCAGAATCCAGCCCCCAGCCCCTCTGTTTCCAACCCCCTGCCTTTCCGAAGTCACCTTAGAAATCCATCATGGATCAGAGAAGGTCATTGAGATTTACAGGCTAATCCAGGGAGGGTTTTTTGGTTTTGTCTATTTGCCCTGGGATTGACGGTGAATTACCTGCCTTCCACCTCTAAAAGGCATTGATTAAGGATCAGGTTCTGTTAGTCTAAAATCCTGAAAAGCCACATATAAAAACCAGCCCACATTACCTGCAGCCTAAGAAATAGCAGAGCCAATCAGGTCAAGGAAAGAGAAAGAACTGCAGAGGAACCCTCCCCAACCCCACCTGTGGGCTGAGGGATAAAAGAACATGTGGGGCCTCTGAATAACGACAATGGTGTGGAGTATGGAGAATACCTTGTTAAAATGGTACCTACTCAGCATAGAGTTCTGGGCCTGGAGTTACAAAGACCCAATTTTGAATCTGACCATGTAACCTCTGTTTGCCTTACTTTCCTCAACTGTAAAGTAGGGGGAAATAACACCCAAATGGGGTCACAAAGAGTCGGACATGACAACATTAAAAATAGCACCTAACTCCTAGGGCTATTGTAGAGATCAAATGAGATAATAGTTGTAGCCTATATAATAGGCCCTTAATAAATTTTTCTTCCTTTCTTTATCCAACCTCTCTCCTCACCCAGCATCCTTCAACACTTAGTTCAAATTGACTTTCTACAAGAAACTTTTACCAGTCCTCCTCAATGCTAGTGCTTTCCTTCTGAGATTATCTCCTGTTTACCATGTGTGTGCCTCAGTGTGTGTGTGTGTGTGTGTGTGTGTGTGTATGTAGTATGTTGCATACAAGATATATTGCAAACAAAATGCATAGTTGTAAGCGTGTTGTCTACCTGGTTAGAATGTAAGCTCCTTGAGGTCAGGGATTGTGTTTTTGCTTTTCTTTGTATTCCTAGTGGTTAGCACAGGGCTTCCCAAAAGTAGGTACAAAATAAAAACATATTGACTGACTGACAAAGCCTCCAATGAGAAATTAGTACAAAAAAAGACATCTCTTTCTCTCCCTCTCTCTCTCTTTCTCTCTCTCTCTCTCTCTCTCTCTCTCTCTCTCTCTCTCTCTCTCA